CTCAGGTCTGCAGCCCAGCAGGAGGGGGGGGGGCCTACTCACAATTGGTAATGGACTCAGCAAGCAGAGGATGTAGGCAGCCCACGCCCTGCTGTCCATGGCGGGGCTCACAAGTGGCTCCCTCAGTCAGGTCGTCCTCGCTGTAAGCCTCGGGCCTCTTCCCTCCCCACTGTCCCCTGCTGCTGCTGCTGCTGCCACAGCTTCTGCCTCCCCTACCCTCGTGGCTGTTTACACAGGCAGAAGCCAGCAAAGGGGACAGAACCAGCTAAATATTCACAGGATTGTAGGACACTGTGCATAACTCAGCCCCGGCCCTGGAGCGGGCCCCCATGTCCCCAACAGGGAGGGGCTGAGCACCCCACTCCCTTCCGCTCTGTCTTTAAGTCTGCCTGTGTGCCTGTCCTAATAGCAAAGGTCCAGAGAGGTGACGGCCACAGGCACTTCTTGCCCCGGCAGGTCAATATTCTTTACCGTTTCCTCCTCTGAGCCCACAGTGGAGAGAGCACCCTCAAATGAAAGAGGCTCAGAGGAGAAGAAGACCCGGGGCCCGATGTCAGGGAGCCCCCGGTTTAGTCGGTGAGCCCAGCTTCATCCACAGGGCTGAAGGGTGGGCTCGGGGCTGTGGCGATGCAGCAGGGGTTGAGGGTAGGAATGAGCTTAGAAAAGGAAACGTGGTCATGAAGCCCCTGCACAGGCTGGCCAAGAAGGTGTCCCATCAGCAGGACCTGGCTTGTTTCCCCAGAAAGGATGCCAGCCTGGAAGGCAGGGTGGAATCTACAGACATCGAGGCTCTAGACTTCACCTGGGGGCTCGTCAGAGTCTCCAGAAATCTTTATGGCAACAGGGGGAAATGAGCCTGAATGGGAGGTTTGCAAGGGGATTCAAGGAGCTAGACCACCCTGAGTAGAGCAAGACAACTGTTATCAATAGCAAAAACTAGAGGACTTACCATAGCTGCTCAAATGATTTTGAACGTTTGTTACCTGGTTGTTTTTATTATTGTTTTAGACTTTAAAATATGGAATCCCAATTGGCCGAGCTAAAGACAGTGTTCTAGGTGACGATTTGGAAGCACGCTGTATCTCCCAGGGCCCTGAATGCCACTGTCCCTGGTGGCTCCCGACATCTGTGTGCAGGTCGGCAATCCCAGAGCTTGCTGGTGACGGCAGGCCTGTTTACAGCCCGGACGCGAATCATGAATGATGAAGCCTCCCCCACCCCCGCCACGTCTAGGGTGAGGTATCATTTTACATCAGCGGGGCTTTATTTTTCCATTTGCATTCACCGCCGACACAGCGTCGAAGAAAAATATTTTGAAAAGAAAACATGACCCACCCCATGCCCCAGACCCACCTGCCCTTTCCCAAAGGAGTTTCTGTGCTT